AAGCAGAGATTGAATGCAGGCCCTTGTACTTGCCAGGGAAGCGCTTATTCTGTGGAGCCATCTCCCCAGCCCCAAAATATATATCCTTATATTACACAATTTTTAATATTCCATGAAAAAAATTTACCTTGTCTTCATGCATTTTCTAATTCACTGTAAAGTAAAATTTCCTGACATCTTTATGTACTATATTTACATGGAGAGATTAGTCTTAAATTTTTATTTTTATAGACTATTATTGTAGTCTTAGTATCATGATGATACTAGACTCAAAATAAATCTAATAACATTCTTTCTGTAATTTCAAAGTTGTCTACACTTATAGCACATATATTATTTGTTTTTCTTTCAAGACAAAAGAGGTTAATGCATGAAGGATTTTTTCTTAGTTTGTTTTTTCCTAAACTAAAACCTAAATATTCATTTTTAATTGCACTGTTGGCACTTTGCAATAAATAAGTGAGTTTGGGGTTGCAGTATTGGCACTGGTCTCTAAAAGTGCCCAAGTTTTGGACACTAGCCACCACTGTTACAGAGATTACTCAAGGATATATTGATAAAATTTTCAACTTTAAAATCTTTGATTATTACTTCTGATTTACCCTCATTATTATTTTTCTGAGTTTTTTTTTTTCACTAGTTGCCAGACATTTTTCTGTTTCATTTGCTGTTTTCAAAGCTAGCTTTTGATTTTGCTTATTTATACTATTTTGTCCTTTGTGTTCTGTTACTATTCTCTGCTTTGTCTCTCTATTTTATAAAAGTTTAATTCCATTTTTCTTTGACTAGATGCTTGAAGTATGACTCATCTGATTTCAAAAGCTTGTCTTATTTTAAAAATTAATTTGAACTCTAAATATTCTTCCAGGTTTCTCATTAGCTGCATAGTATACTTTTATATTTAGTTTTGTTCAATTTTAAATATTTCATAACGAGTTTTAATTTATTAAGTCTAGACTTATCTAAGCATATTTACTGTATTTGATTATTGATTCAAAATATAAATATATTGTAATGAAAAGATGTAGTTTTAATTTAAAAAATCTTTTGAAGTACCTTTTTGTGACTATTCAGTACTAACATCTTGCTGGTAAACCTAAAATCTATAGATAG